TGTACATTTCAGGAGAGAGATTTCGTGGGTTTGGGTTCAGGGTGTAAGGATTGGGGTTTAGGGTTTAGGGTTTAGGGTTCAAGCAGCCACGTGGGGTACAGGGGTTACTCGAAATGGAGCATAGGACCGATTACTGATTACTGAATTTATTAAAGAGGTTTCGCCGTTGTTGCCTAACCCGTGCCTTAACCAGACTATGATCGGTCCACCCCGGGGCTGACATGGTGTTGGGGGTTCAGGGTTTAGGGATTGGGGTTTAGGGTTCAGGGTCCAGGGTTCAGGGTTTGGGGTTGAGGAATTGGGGATTAGGGTTTAGGGGGAGTAGGGGATTAGGGATTATGGTCTAGGATTTGGGATTGAGGGTTCAGGGTGTAAGAGGTTTGGGTTCGGGGCTTGAGTTAGAGCCGGGGGGGTCTTTCTGTCGGTGTAGGGAGGAGAAAATTCATTTTCTCCTCTCCGCCGATTTCAAATTTTCCAAAACTTTGACCTGTGTTTAACCGAGCCCTCGTCGGGGGCTCGGTTCAACACATCTCACATTGTCGGTCGATGCCTTTTACAAGTGATTTTACCGCGGCCGCACTTTCTCGCTTGGAAATTGTTGACTTTCGATTGCAGGTTTTCGGTTTCTGACCTGATTTGTACGAGAAGTCGCCCGAAATCGGGGGGCATGCACCGCAAAAATAGTAGAAAGACACATGCAAAAGACATCGACCGACAAAAAGTTTGTTGGCGAGTGGGAGCGGGATAGAACCGCTCCCACTCGCCAACAAACTATTATTTTCGATCGGACATCGCACGGCCTGGGCATGTGAGTTTACACTTCCGTCCTTTAGGTCGTACGAAAAACGGCTTCAATTCCAGCGCTATCGGACCAATTGGCTCCAATTCCAGGGACGTTAACGTACGGAATTGGAGCCGTTTTCCACCGGGGTCTTTGCAAAACGATCGGAGAGGGACCAGATGTGATTTGAATAGACCGTGATTCGGGTCGCCCTGCAAGCTCCCCGCAGGGGCCGCCGGAGGCTCATTTGGTCCTGCGCCGATGTGAATTCAGTGACGCATCGGGGAGGGACCGAACAGTTCGCATTTTTCCCAAACACGTGGTCGAAAAATGGACGTGACCTGTTTTTGCTCCCTTCCCGATTATGTTTGAAAACAGACGAAAAACGCCTCGTTCACTTTATAAAAAGGGTAAAAAGATGCAGCGCTTTACCAAAAAACAGGGAGTAGACAAAAAGAGATGTTTTCACCAGCCCATATCTCACCACTCGGAATCGAACCAAGGACAATTCGATATCCGCGATTTCCACTACAGTCGAATGCTCTACCAACTGAGCTATGGTGAGCCACGAATGTGACTCGGTAACCAGAGACTGGTTGTATCCGCTGAGCTCCGCGGAGTGTCCTTGATTCACGAGAATGGCACGATTGACGGTGTGAATTCAGGTCTAGGGGGTGCAAGGAGGGGGATTTGAGACTTCGGGAAATGCGAATTTGTAACCTTAAGTTTATTTTCCACAAGGCAAGTTGACTTTTGATACGCAACTCTGCGAAAATTGCACACACATCATGACAGACGTGAGCCTTCAATTTTTCAAAATCGTCCGTCTACACGACCGGCGAGTAGTAAAATACGAAAATTTACCACACAATTTGACACACGAACACCTTCTTTTTGTTGTGTAGTAAACTCGGACATGGCGTCTTGATGACGTGGCTCATGGGGGCTGGGATGACACTACCGGTACCTGGCACAAGGTTGAGAGACTAGAAACTCAAACCAACGCAGCACCCGCACCATGCCGCCAGTGGTGGTGTCTCACCTCTCCCCTGCCACCGTCGATCCCGACGCGCTCGACTCGCTGTCCCCCTCCGCCCCGCCCTCCTCGCATGAAGAGGAAGATGAAGATTGGCAAGAGATCACACTTCCGAGCCATGAAGAACTTCTGGCAGAGCTCAACGTCTGCACGCTGCACTTCAGGCCGAACCTATCGCTCCGACAAGCGTCCCCTGAGCCTCGTCGCTCTCCCACCAGAATCTCCTGGAACAAGGGCATCGCTAGCATCGACGAGGGCTTTCGCGCCATCCAAGCCCGCCGCGAGCCGGTGGCCCTCGTCCACGAGGCGGGCGTGTCCTCTCCTGCAACCGCTCCGCGCATCCTACACACCAAGATGAAGAATCGTCCTGACCCCGCCATGCTGGAAGTTCCTTGAGGGTGGGTTACCGTCTCATCGACGCGCGAGCCTGAAAAGCCCCGAAGCAGACAACGTCCACGAGCGGCACCTCCGGCCCTGCTCGCCGCCCCGACATGCGTCCCCTGCGCGTCGCAACTCTCTCACCGATGCGGAGTACGACGCACGCATCGCTGGCATCGAGAGGAGCATTCGCGCCATCCAAGCCCGCGAGCCGGTGGCCCTCGCTCACGAGGCTCACGAGGCGGGCGCCCCCCCTCCTCCAACCGCTGCGCGCATCGCTGGCTGGAGCGGTACACCGTCTCGGCGACTCGCAAGCCTGACACGCCCTGGAGCAGACACCGTCCACGACATGCACCTCCGGCCGCGCTCGTCGACTGACCCGCCACGCCAAGCGACCCCTAAGGGTCGGAACTCTCTGAAGGAAGCACCATTCACGCGGACATCAAAGCGACCTGCATCATCCTGGGGCAAGCGAATGAATAGGACTTCATGGCTCGCGTGGAAAGACCGCCTCCTCTTCGTCCGGAATCGGTGCTAGCGCTGCTGTCATTTGTAAAATACATGAACAGAGACCCAGCACGCACGTGCCTGGCGAGTGAGTGCGTGCACGCGAGAGCTTTCGCGCATGAAGCTGAAGGTTGCGCGCATGAAGCGACCTGTATTGCTACCAACCGGTATCCCCCACCCAACGGTGCACGTGCCAGCCTGGGCCCAAGGAAGCTTCCTACAGGGGTACCTCGCTCATAAGAAACCGCCCCCCCCCCTAGGGACCACCGTAGGGCCCTAGGCATGGTCGTACTGTAGGGTCCTACGGGGGGGAAGTTTCTTATGAGCGAGGTACTCCTGTAGTTCTGCCTCACTCGGGTGGGCGGACTCTCGGCGCCCCTACTCAGGCACAGCCTCGGTGTTGGTGCATACAGGGGTACCTCGCTCATAAGAAAGCGCTTCCTCCTAGGACCCTACAGTAGGACCATGCCTAGGGCCCTATGGGGGTCCTAGGGGGGGGGCGGTTTCTTATGAGCGGGGTACTCAAGTACATGGCGGCCGTGTTGGTAGCAACAAAGGTCTCTCTTAGAAGACTCTTACAGGACAGGCTTGTTTGGGTATTTCCAATCGTCCTGCTGAATCATCGTTGTTTTGTCTCCCGAAGTCTGCTGGGAATCCGGCCCGACCACCTGCGAGGGTTTGGGGTTTGGGGTTTGGGGTTTGGGGTTTGGG